AAAGGCCACATCTGAATGCCAGTCTTGAAAAGTGCACAGTTAGCTAAAGAGACGGTCCGTTGAGGCTGGACTTCAGGAAATTATTCTCTGAAAGCCAAAAACAACAACCTGCCAAGAAGGAGGAGAGTGGGAAGTTTAGCGAGCCCGAGGTGAAGGCGGGGGGAAATGGATTTGTCCCAATTCTCTCCAAAATAGTTGTGAGGATGCACAACAGGCGATTGGGATTGCTGCTTTTAGAAATCCTTGTCATGTGCACTTGGCAATTTCCTCTCTGCAAAGTCCCCAAAGACGTCTCATAAGGAGAGATACATTTTTTGATCCGGGGCTTTCGCGCACTCTGCAGATCATGTGTCACTGATAATGGATTGTGGATTGTGGAAAGAGCTAGATACTCTTACCATGATACTGCATTAATACAGTTTCAGGCTTTACAAGTCCAGCTCTTGGGCCATTGATGAGAAGAATCCTTTGAAGCTAAAAATATGTGGAGGCCTGTGTACAAAGCTTGTTCTCTCAGTGTAGATCTCTCAGGTATCAGCTTCACAGTAGATTATTAACCACAAGTTAAATGTCTGCCGTAAACATTGCTGCAAGGAATACTGAATGCCAGTGAATCATTATAATGGGGAAAACGATCTGTTTACACATTTCCTTTGTCCTTGTCAGGTTTGGGTTCAGCACATTTATTTTTAAAAGTTCGAAACCGACAAAGCAAAATAAGAAAACAAGCCTAACCTTTTCGACCCTTGAAGTACTCCCACATATTTGGACAAAATCAGTGCGCTATACCTTTGACACTTTTTCAAAACAGTTAATATGTCAAAACATATATGTGAATTAACATCTGACCTCTCTGTCAATATTAACGCTGACTTCCTACAAATCTTCCACTTCTAAACAATATATAAAAACAATGATGTGTATCATCATCCGTGTGGACCTGAGACAAGAAGTCAGATGACCAAAAGAAGACAGCCCTCTATGCAAATGACCACTGACTAAATAAAACTCCTTCTCTTTAGATCGTCTACCCCACGCACTGCCTCCTTCCTTTTCACAGCTGTTGTTGCTCAGCTTCTTTTGAAGCCCACCTTTTAAAAAAAATCTCTGCTGTGTAATTCATGTCATGGATTTTACTCTATCTTAAAAACAGTTCAAGTTAAAAGTTTTCATTTGTGACGCTTTTTTTTCTAACACTTGCGTGACACCTTTGTGTGACAGTTTGAGGTGGGCTGCGTGCAGTGATGCCCAGATCCACAAAATCTGCCTCGAGATCTCGGAGCCGCTCGAGGACCCGATCTAGATCTAGATCCAGATCCCGCTCCACGTCTCGCTCCAGAAGTCGCTCCAGATCCAGGTCCCGCTCCAGGAAGCATCGTTACAGGTATGGAGCTTGTGTTGCTTTGCTACATGCTACTGGATCAAATTCATACGTTAAAGTTTGAATGCAGAATCTTTAAATGTATGAAATACTATAAAATTGTATGTATGTGTGTATGTCTGCGCTTATTGGAGGAGGTATATAAATAATTGGTAAATATGTCAAGATGAAATACAGGTGGATCAAGCCAACCTTTGCCTCACTGTCCATGAAATGATCATTTCATAAAAGCTGTCAAGCCACATGTACATTTGAATGTATCTGAAAATAGATGGAGAATATGAATAATTTGTGTTTGAGGGACTCATCCTCGGGTCAGGCCTCGTATCAGCCTTTTATTTATTAGTGTAGCTCAAAGCTGCTATTGAATAATAATGGATTCAAGTCTTGAGCAAATAATGAAATTGGCTTCTGCTAAATAGGAAATTAAAGTTTGAGAAAGAGTGTTGATGTTAAGACAGTTTAGGTCTGAGGGCTGATGCATGTGTGTTTTTGTTTGGTGTTTCTGGCAGAATGACTGTGGCATAGCAATAGAATGGGAGGGTAACTCGTTTCCTGGCAGTGTCGCAGTCCATATTAAAATTAGGGTAAAGAAGAGACGAGGAAAGTATCTGATGGTTTACTCTTCCCGAAGGCACCTAGTACATGTGAAAATGAAAATTCTGTGGTTAAACCCACCGGAACCGGAGGAGCATGAATACACACATTTGCCTGAGTTCATCTAAGCGGATATTTACACACCGATAGATACAATAACAACAGGAGCTCACAGATTCTAAGAAATGTTTTATTTTTCCTACAGCTTTGGGAAAACTGTACCTCAACATCCGACAGAGGGAAAAAAAAGGATGGAAAAAATGCTGGAAGCAGTTTTTTCTGCTTTTGTTGCCACAGACAGACGTGGTTTTTGTGACACAGTCGGCAGGGTGGACATATTTATAGATTGTCAAAGTTGGCTAGGTGCTATGAACATTAAACTCCCCTTCCCACTGTCACCGTCTTACCCTTATAACACTGTCACCACGGTGAGTAGTTAAACATGTCAGTCAACAAATGTATAAAGCGTCCAGTGAGACCCAATGTCGCGCTTTACTTTTTAACTTTTTATAAACACACAAGCCAGTGTGTCCTGATGGAACTGGATACAGGATAAAGAGGCTAAAATGCACAGATTTGGCCAGTAGAATCTAATAATTTCTGACTCAAGTCTTAAGAAAGCTCCTCCTTAGGCTGTTGGAAAGCATTTGAAGACAGAAAACACAGAGTCAAAGGATTTGAGTACTTTTTTTCCCTCTTCTTTGTGGAGTCCATGTGACTCATTGCTCCGCCAGAGCTGTCCAGAGAATCTGTATCTGTAGTTTGTGCTGTGAGTGTGCAGTGCTGCTCGGTACGCTGCAGTCTCTGTCGCTCCGTATTCCAATGAAAACACACACTAGGTGAGTTAAGAGTATTTTCTGCCTGTTTGTTGTGGCTTTACAATTAGTTTTTTTTGCACGTTAGCACTGCTTTGCTCCTTCAGTTTAGAATGTTGAATATTGCGGAATTGTGCATGGACTCCTTGATGCAGTTAGATTTCTGTAAAGTTTTTTTTTCTGTAAATATTTTACATGGTATCGAAACGCTGAGTTGTTACATTGTAGTTTTGTAGTTCCACAAAAAGAGTCAGAGATTGTAGATGGTAGAATCCATACTTGCAAAGAGTAACTAGTATGATGTCTTCGTATAGATTCAGGCATCCCTGATCTTTAAATATAACAGTGGAATATGGAACATAGTATTGGAATGTGATTTACCCTAAAGGTGCATGATGATTTGATTGAATAGCTGATTTTCAGAAGAGTGGAACAAGTTGTTTCGGGATATCATGTAAAAACTGTGTTGACTGTTCAGGTTAGAGAGCTGCGTTTACAGCAGTGCAGTAGAGCCCCCACGTGGATGAGGCTGACTCTGCACCCTGGCTCATCACCACCCTGTGGAATCTCAGCTTTTCCTACATGCAAAACTGCTGAGTAGGCCTCTCCCAACATTAAGAAAAAGAGAAAGAAAAAATACGTAATCGGCTTGGTTTGAAGTCTATTAGAATTTTTATTTGGGAATGCTTCTCCACAGTTTGTGTACTATGTGCTAAAGATTTGTTTTCAGCCATTAGTTTTTTTCCAGGTTGACCAGCAGGTCAACCAGTTTAGTTGAGTTTTCATGTTTTCCTAATAACAAAACTGTTTATTTTAGGGCAGTTTTACAGAGGCTTCGTTGTACCATATTGCAGACTGCTGATATTTCTATGATCAGAGCAATAAACCTGAAAACTATTCATGTCCATCCCAAAGAAGATGACAAATATAAGGGAAAATCAACAGACTTAGGTCACCACGGAACAGCTTCACAATCTCTGAAACTCCAACAGAGGGACTAAAGATATTGTCTCTTAAGGTGATTTGGTGATGATGACAGAAAATGCTGTCCAAAGTTGGTTAACAAACAGACAAACAATTATGTATTATTTCTAATATGTTGTATTATCATGTTTTGTGTATCATGACAGTATCTGCTGAATCATCAACATCTACAACATTCCCAGAGTCACATTTACAAAATGTTGATTTTATGGGCTGACAAACTGAACTACAACATGTATTTCCACCTTTGTATGGTGGTACTCTTCTGGGAGTAATAATCCTTCTGCCATTTCTTTCCAAGGTGTGTCTTTATTGGGTGGACACACTCACACAAGGTTTCTGTTGCTACAACTCACCCTTATTATTTTCAAAGCCATATTTGACTTGTTTCTCTTCTCTCTGCAGTGTTTTCCTTTAACACAACAGCACCGGCGTCACATTGGTAGAGATATTTTTTCCATGCTGCATTCCAATTGAGTGGTTTGTAGATGTTGGTCGTGGTACCACTGTGGAACAATCTCAGCTTTCTGACAATGTGCTGAATTTGTCCCTGGTCATCCTTGGTCATTACAACATTACAGCAGCGGCTTTGGACCATCTCTCACTGCTTTATATGACAACCGTTTTTTATCCACGATCAAAGATACCATCATCATCTTTAATCTTAGGTTCTTGTGGCTGTGAAGGCCACTTCCTGTGATAGTCTAACTCTAACCTTCCTCTCAGTAATCCATGTGCTCTGTGGATGGATGAGTTGAATCTGTCATAACAATGCCATGCCTTAAACATGATCTCATACCAAAACTTTGTGATTATTTTCTGTGACAAATTGTCCTTTAATATTCCAGCAGAACGCTCTGGCAGAAATCTAATGAACTCATTCCAACTTTTAGGTATATCACCATACTGTGCCTTCTCTTTTTATATTCTGTAGCTCTAGGTCTCGATCAAGATCTCATTCTCCTTTTCACAACCGGGACAAAAAATATCAGAGGGGATACCAAAACAACCGGGAGTTCCGGGGCTATCACCGTGGCTTCCGGAGGCCCTACAACTTCAGGGGCCGAGGACGGGGCCATTTCCCTCGTGGACGCTACCAGCGTGGGGGCGGCGGCTACAACAACAACAACAACAGCAACAACTTTCGCCCCAACTGGAAGAACTACAAGCAGCATCCTCAAAAACATCAGCAACAGCAGCAGCAGCAGCAATACCAGCAGTTCAACTACTCACAAGGGCGAACGCACAACCCGCAGAACCACTCAGGAAGCCCCCCTCAGGGTCACGCTCGCCGCTCCGATAAATCCTCCTCCCCGTTGTCCAGACACTCCCAGCATTCGTCCTCCTCGTCACACTCCTCCTCCCCCAAATGCAAGCCAGCCTCACTGCTGGCTAACCTAAATTCGAAAGATGTCAAAGAGGAGCAGTTGGCCTCCAAAGAAGTCCAAAAGGAAGGGGAGGTGGACGAGGAGCCAATTGAGTGTGAGCGCGTTGAGTCACTGGCGAGAGATGTGAAAGAAGGGGCAGGAGGTGGGAGGACGGAGGGGAGCTGGCGGAGGCTGGCAGAGTGCAGCAGCAGTCCTCAGAAAAACAGCCCCCTCACTGGCTCTACTCCCACTGTTGGTCAGAGCAGCCAAACTGCGACTCAGTCCAGTCCCGCGAAAGACACAAACGATGCCAGCAATGGCGCCCCCACGTGGCAGAAAGCATGTGATCCATCTTCAGTAAAAAAGCCCCCGTATGAGGGTCTAAACCCAATGCTTTCCAGCTTTGACTTCTTCTCCACTGAGGAATACATGGATGGAGATAAAATGGCAATCTCCATCGCCTTCAGGAAGTAAGGGCAATTTTAACCTCACTGCCACAGTTGGTGTATGTTTCTTTTGTCAGACCACACAGTAATGTCGCCATCATTACCAGGTTTTAGGTGTATTTAAGCTCTGACTGCCTCTAATGTCCAGGGAAAACATTAGTGTAATATTTCTTTATCTCTGATTTGATTAGAGAAAATGCTATCCTCATGCTTAGTCGTTTCAAACTGTTCTGATTTCAATGTTGCACCTGTTTGTCCTACGTCCCATTTGACACTTCTCCTTTGACTTTTTTCTCTGTTGCTCAGGTTTTTGGAGGAGCAAAACAAAAAGGCTCAATCTGTGCGACAGAACGGCAACAGCGCAGAGGCTGGCGATGTGGACATGGAAAAAGGGAATGGGAATCGCAAAGCACCCGCCGTTGTCTCTGAATCAGTGTCAAGGACGCACAGAGAGGACACCGATGATGAGGTGTCCCTAAGCAGCTTTTTAAGAGCCTCTCCATTTCTGTCCCCTGAAGGGGAGGAAAAGGAGGAGATGATTATCAAGCGTCCTTCTAAATCGCTTAACAAGGACCGGTATAATGGTGACGAGGCATCTAAGCCAAAGAGTAAGGTCTCTCAGTCGGCACTCAGACTCTTTGAGGAGTGCTTTGACAAGTGGCAGAATGCGGCCTACCCGCAGTCTGCTAATGGTGAAGTGGATACTGCGGCAGGGGAGACGCATCTCAGTGACAAACATGGCAAAGCAGCAGCCACTGCCCACAGTAAAAGAGAGTTTGCAGAAAAGTTTGAAGCGTTGCCCTCCGATACGGGTTGTAAAACACGGAAGTTGACACACTCTGCCTCGGCCCCGTCGTCTACACCGTTAATGAGGCGGAACTCTGACAGAGAGTTGTTCATGATGAGAGGAGAGGACTCGCCTCTCATGTCCTCAAGAAAACCAGAGGCAAAATTCAATGTAAGAATGGATTTCGTTGGAGATAGTCTGCTGAGGTGAGCATCACTAAAGGGCTTAAAGTGCTCTATTATTTAGTGTTATCTACAACCCTGTTCCCAAGAAAGCTGCAGTGCTGTGAAAAAAAATCGGAGTTCCGCATTCAGTTCAAGACAATATGAGAGTCTTTGCACTACTTGATGTTTGATTCAGGACTATGCATTAACTGAGCGGTCTCAGTCTTGGAAGTAAAGGTGAGCAATGTTTTTTTTTAAAAAGCCAACATAGTTGTTGATTCAGCTTCCATTCTGGCCCATGTGGCTTCCCGTGTTCTGTTCAGTGTTGATGGACTCTTCACAGGTTTCTCGGTTTGCACATGACAAACCGAATGACAGCCCTCCACTTTAGCCTGGAACATTGACATCTGTGGTTTTTAGAACATTTTGAGGACCTAAGGTTTTAATTACCCCTAGTCTATTTTCAAATGAAAGGCAGCAAAGAGCAAATTTAACCAGTGGTCTGGCCGTGCACCATATCTTCCCTTCCATAACAAGCTCACTACTTTCCTGGAGGCTCTTATCAGACCCAGTAATGTATTTGACAATAGGTGTCAAGTTCAGTTGGCCTACATTTCATCTTGTTTCTTCATTCTGACCACACATGAATTCTGATTTCTTTGCCTATCATCCGTCGCCGTCTTATCTCTTTTGGAAACAGGGTTGTAATCAGAACACAGTATTTCAGAAACATTTACAAAATTAAAAGCAAATGACTAAACAGCGTTTGTATTTATCGTTTCAGCTCGTCCGATATTTTGGCCGAAGAGCGGCAGTTGTCGCAGGACCTTGTACAGGCCTCGAAAAAGGATCAGGAGTTCCGCTCCATCTTTCAGCACGTTCAAGCTGCACAGTCACAGAGAAGTCCCTCTGAGCTCTTCGCTCAACATATTGTCACCATTGTTCACCACACCAAAGGTCAGTAATATGCTACTCTTCCTTTTCCCAAACACTTTTTAACAAAGCAGGTTTTGTTTTATAAATGTACATCTTGGATTTGCATCAAGAAAATCATAACACATAGCACATTTCAGTCAGTGGCTCAACTACATTTTTCAGAAAAAAGAAAAAGCATATCGTGCAATATTTTTATCTTGATGAATCCATAGCATCTTGTTTTTTACCGATTACCTCCTCAGCCCAGCACTTTCAGCCCTCTGGCATGACTCTAAACGAGCGATTCACCTTGTACCAAAGACAAGCGGCAGAGAAGGAAATGATGAAGCCACGAAAAAGCCCAGAGATACACAGGTAGAGTCGCCTTGATTGAGTGACCCTCTCACCTTCAGTGTGCTGTGGCTTCACATCTTCTTTTAACAGCTTTCAGGTATTTCTTTCACCTTTCCCTTCTGATAATCAACAGGCTATCTTGGCTTATTAGTTCTCATGCTTGGTGCAGGGCTAATGTATTTTCACCACATTTTTTTTCATCTTTCGCTTTATTATGATGTCTCTCCTGTTCAGCGTTTGGTTTTTGGGGCTATTTTGTCCTCAGTCATACTTTTTTTTGCCTTAACTGTGTTTGTCTCTCACAGGCGAATTGATGTTTCACCAAGTGCTTTTAAGAAACACCCTCAGCTTTATGAGGCGATGAAAAGCTCAGAGGATGGCCTTTACAAGGTGACTGAACACTTTGCAGTATGACATATGTTGGACAAACAACAGCAAACAAGCGAGTGAGCCAGATGCCTGTAGACTGCCTGTGGCTTTCCATGAGGGGAGATGGTCAAAGTCTCAAAAGAGAGAAAAGGCTCCTTGACTTTGTTGTTTGTTGTATTGCCTCACGTGGTGATTGTTTGTATTGTGAGCAAAAGCTTGACTGAGGGAGGCTAAATAAATCAAACATGATCAGAAAAGGAAGCCTCTGTGACAAAGCTGTCCAAAGGACTCTAAACAAATATCTTCGTAAGTATTCCTTTATAAAAAAAGAATCAATTAAATAACAATAATAAAACGACTGTAAATAACCAACAGCGAGCACTTCATGCACATGTGCTTTTATTTACAAGCTTAACATTCTGAATCATCCTTCATAGCATTTCTCTATCTCGCATGGTCACGTCGAGTGAACTTTTAAACACGAAGAGCAAAACGCTACTAAGAAGCAAGTAAACTTAAATCAGCATGAACAGTCAGATTTTCTTGTTTTTCACTTTTGCCGATAAGCCATACTGGTGGATTTTGAATTTGCATTTACCAAATACCTATACAGTGCATTCAGTCGGGTATATTTTACCCTCATTTCTTAAAGTCTATTCATAAGTTTATAAGACTGTTTCAAACCCTCCATGCAGCTATTGAATTCCCTTTATTGTATCAAGATGGTATGATAATCAACTTACAATGGCTTGAAGCAGGAAATCCATCAGGACCCACCCCTTTTTTCCCCCTGCCGTTGTGTTTTGAAAAGCTTTAACATGCTTCTTGGAAGTCCTGGAATCTTCTCCTGAAAGTGTTAGAAAACATGAGACAACTGAAGAGGATATTAAATATCTGGGTGGCTGGCATGTCCATGAAAAAAGTCTTCAAAGCCAACTGTGTCATATGAATAGAGTTGATGGGGATGGATTGTTCAGCTGAGGTACATCAGAAGTCTTTTCTAGTTGATTTTCATATCATTATCAAATAGCTGCATGGGAGGCTAAAAAAAAAATCATTGTGCAAAGGTATGCTTTGGATAATGGCTCCATAAAAACTGGTGAAACTGCTACTTTTGGCCCCAGAAGTTCACTGGAAAATGCACACCAGAATGGCTCGGTGTTGTTCTGGCCAGCTGGCTGTCAGACGGGTTTCCCCCCCTTTTCCCATGGACTTCTCTATTTAGTCTACAGACCAGCTTGGCTGAGAACAGACTCGAGGCGCCTACATGTTAACCCAAAGTCTGTCCACGACATTGTGTTCTGTGTTTTGATTTGCTCAGGATGGCGGGGAAAAAGCGAAGGGTGACCCAATGGACCTTCGTTTGGACATAGAGCGTCGGAAGAAATTTTCCACCCATGAAAAGGATTATAACCAGGATCGGGGAAGAGATATGAAAAGCTCCCCGGATTTTAGCAAGGACAGATCTGAGGAAAACATTCCCAAATTCAGCAAGAGACTGATGTACGTGCAACTACCTATCACAATGAATGCTTTGTGTTATTTTTTCTAAGAGTTCTGTTCAAATTGGTTGCAAAGTAAATATCTTTACCTGGCTGGTTTTCTGGTAGGAAAAGTGATAAGAAACGCTCTCGCTCCAGTTCGTCCTCATCATCCTCATCCTGCAAATCTCAAAAAGATGAAAATTTACCTCATGACAAGCCAGAGTCAAAAGATGAAGTCTTTGACAGGCCTTGGCTGAGTCAAAGGGGCTCACAGACACCGGCTGAAGGAGGATGGTTGCGTGGAGGATTTGTGAGTTTGTTAAAATGTGGTTTGATTTTTAAATTTTGTCCTCTGTATCATTCCTGTTCCTCATCATGTTATCTGATTACAGCAAATAAGAATCCGTGGAAGAGGCTGGAACAAAGCCAGTTGTCAGCAAAACAGTTCACAAAGTAACCCTGTGAAAGGGGCAGCCGACCCAAACAACGAAGACTGGGATCCAGAGTCTACTCCCAAGTGCAAAAAGTACTACTTGGTAGGGTTGCTTTTTTTTCTTATTTATGTGTCCAGTTCCTAGATTGACCAAAATCAAGCAAACGCTGTTCTGTTGAACCAATCGTCCCAACTCAGTCATCCCTCATTTTATCTTGACATGTCTTTGCATCTCATTAAATTTAGCATGATGACAGAGATGAAGAGCCCGAACGCAAGTGGATGGACAACAGAGGGAGAGCGCAGGGGAGCTTCCCCCGTGGAAAGGCGCGATTCATTATCCGCAAAGCCACTGGCAGCGCCACCATGAATAACTCCAAATGGGTGTTTGATAAATTCCAGACCAGTAGAGAGCACGGCGGCAAGGAGGGCGAGGAGGGAGAGCAGGACCACAAACAAGCCGAAATCGATGGGGAGAAAACTTAAGCAGTGTGCTGAAAATTCGAACAGACTTGATGCTGTTGTTATACTGTAGGTTCTGGGGAAATGCTTTTATCGAAGACAAATGTTTTAATAAATGCAGATTCAAATGTTTTAAAACTATTGCTTTACTCTTCAGGGCATGATTCTTCCTGGACTTGACAAAATAACCATCTCCTGTGTCAGGATGTGGACTATGACAAGTAGAGGCACTGTTTATGGGCATTTCTTATGCAAGCTGATCTGAAGTTTTGGCATTTTTTAAATTTTATTTCCTTTTGCTTTTTGGATCTGAATTCTTTCAAGCAGCCTTTCTGTAATACTTTAGATCTTCTTCATTGGGATGAGAAGTATGTATACAAATTTAAAGTCAAATTGTTGTCAGAATGTGCCTTAATACTTGTGAAAGTGAGGTTTTTAAGGTAAAGTTTAACGAATTCACTGCAAATTTTAAAAAAAATCAATGCACCACCCATTAGTCCTGAAAGATGGTTCTCATCTGGGTCAAAATAACAGCGGTCAAACACTGTAATGCTGATGCCATTTTGTCATAAAAGAAAAAATCACATCATATGACCTTTAACTTACAAGGGGACCAACTCTGCAGGGTTAACATGCTCATAAAAAAAAAGAAAAGAAAAAAAAGATTTTTTTTGCGTGATCCTTTGAATGCCACTTCAATGTACATTACTGTTGGATTGATTTATTTCTCCTCCTTTTATTGTAATTTTTGTATTTGGCTTGGCTGGGGTTTGATCTCTTGTATAACAAATGATTTTCATTATTTCCATAGGCTGTAGAGTGTTTGTAATGTTTTATCTGGATGCAGTTAGTAAATTCTGTGCAGCATTGTCATTACATTGATGAAAAACTGCTGATAAAGAGTAGCCCAATTTGTAACAGTGGCAAAGACATGACTTGGAATACAAGTGTATCCTGCCAAGAGGCAAAACGATTATGTCTTTTGTCTCAGATAGTCCAAGACAAAGGTTAACCCCTTTGAAGACCGATCCAAGACAAAAATAGAGATTTTTTTTAAAGTCTTTACCTGGCCCTTTATCAATATATGAAAAAAAACAAATCATTTTTGAATATTCATCATTTATTACTGTGCAATTAATAAAAATTATTGTTGTTTCGTCTTCTGCCCGCGGTTATCAGGTATATCTGATTGTGTACAACAGGGTTGTGAGCAAAGTTTTTACATATAAATGATGCAAAAGGTCTCAGATGCAAAACATTTCAGTAACCGTATGTATCAAATAGGATACACATGGAATTATAGGGTTAAGGATGTCTTTTTGTGTGTCTTACTTGTACAATATAGGCCAACAGTTTGAGATTTCTATGTAATTGTTAAAGGATGATCGTAGGGAATATTGTCTTTTTTTAAGTTGCAAAAGTTTTTTTTCTTTGAGACTAAATTAAAAAGACACTGATTACTTTGATCATCATCTTCCTGTGTCTTTCATTGAGTCAGATCTATAAGGGTTACCTACAACTTCTGTAAGTAGTTACAACTTTCAGCTTATTGTTGCTTTCATGTATGGTGGAGGAACTGACTGCATGTTCAACATAACATGATTACGAAAAATAAAGAATCGTGATTGTTATATCGCCTCTGAAATATAAACAAAAGTGCCCAGGCTGAAGTATCTGAACAACACATTAGGAATACAATGGTAATTTTATTGACAACCAAACCAATTCAATGTAGCATGGCTTTCTGATGAGCTGAACAAAAACAGAAGACAGCTAAATGGAATTGGATTGATAACCTGTCAATGTTAGTCTCAACTTGGCTAAATCTTGTGGCACACATTATTTCCCTTAATATATTTTATTAAAGTAAACTATTAGTTGGAAATCACATATCTAAATTGGGTTTAAGATATCAATTTTAACTGTCACAACATGAACAGAGAAAGTCAGATTAGAAAACATCAAGCACTGTTTAAGTAGTGGAGCAGGATAACACAGGGGTTCTAATTGCTTAATTGGTGACCCACAGCAAACCCTCTAATTTTGGATGACTCTTGACCTGTGCAAAGTCTATTTTCTGCCTTCCGTGGCCCCATGAGGGCTCCAGAGAGCATGGCCTTTGAGAGTAAATCTCTACAACAACTACAACAATGACTGGTTTCAGTCATTGCATAACAATAGAAGACCAAGCTAAGAAACTATCACACACTTCCCTCTGAGACGGGTTGGTCCTCAGGGTCAAAGGTATATCCTGAATAAACTGGTTCTTATTTGCGTATTCCATTCTTTTGGGGGAGGTGCTTGATTCATGGAAGTCACTTATCTCATGATTAAGCACGATGAGATATGATGAAACTATGGGACCCAAATCTGTGTCCCTGCTTTTTCCAGTAGGGAGCAGCTGGAGAACTGTTTTATTTTCTAATTGAGTGCTTCAGGGCAAAAGTGTTCAGACATTTTAATTACATAAGGGAGCCACGTGTATAATGTGCAGGTTTAGTTTAAAGTGGGTCAAAATGTACTCAACACACTGGGCCCAAAGCACAATCATTCACTGACGTTTGTTCTTCAATAATTGGTTGCTAAAAATGACTTATTGTCATCAGTCACTTTGTTGTGAGTTTTGTTTTCTCACAGCAAACCTGTCTTACCTGTTTGTCTCTAAGTCTCTCCTCCTTCCCTCACACTCTGCACTGTTTGGCCGGCCTACTCCTTAATGCTGACTTGCCATGACTTGCTTGAGATAAAACTGCGGAATGTTAATGTTTGACGAGCAGGAAGAAGGGCCTTGACTTCCACACTTCTCGCTCAGAAAGCAGACACATTCTTTCACTTCTCGTTTTGTTTATTACTTTGTGAAGACCTTACAAAGGGATATTTGACGGAGAACGGATAAAAGAACACCATGGGTGAGTCAGCATTGCTAATACATTTGAGACATATGTTTCTATTTTGATCCTATTGTTAATTTTAAAGGCTAAGAGAGACAGCCTGGTGTCTGGGCAGTGCTGCTGTACACCTCTTAGAAATACAGTTTTCTATGCAAACAGACCTAGAGAATTGGTGTATAAATACCACTGCACAGCTTTGCATAAAACTAGATAACTTGTTGTTATCTCGTTCTTTATAAAGACCCAGAGGGATTTGTATCCTGATTCTAATTGATCCACTTCTAATTTTAGCTGTGAAAAGTTTTGAAAGCTCTCTTAGTATTCAAGGAATCACTGACCAAAAACATAGGTTTTCACACAAGTAAAGAGTGAAAAAAACTAAGACCGTGCAGTTAGGTCTGTAAAATACAGGTGGCCTGAATCAAGATTAAGTTTGTCTTGCTTTCATAAACGTCAGGATGCATCATCCTTTGTTGAAAAAATGTAATTTTCTACCCTACTTATGGTTCCACTGCAGAGGTGCTGGTGCTGATTGACTTTGTGGGCGCTGTGAGTGACGAGCTCACAGTGAGGACAGGGGATGTGGTCAAAAATGTCAGCAAGGCCAGCGACGATGGATGGCTGCAGGGGGAGCTGAGAGGGAAGAGAGGCATCTTCCCTGCTAACTTTGTGAAGGTCTGCCTTCAGCCCTGGGATGCTTTTTACTGTTTACTGGCTGTTACTGTGCATCTGAGTTCCTCCATATATGTTGATCATATGTTGTGCTTCGTCTCTGCTTTTCATTGCAGGAGGTTCCAGTATTTTTGATCGGTGACAGCAACAGGGAACCACGAAGTCTCAGAAAAGGTTTAATTTTTAGGGCAAAATTATGCATTCGACTTAAAATATAGATACAACACATACCTTACAGTACTGTGAAAATTTTGACGCCAAGAATTAATATTTAGGCTTGTAAGAAAGTTTTTATTCATTTATGTGGATGTATTTATTCATGTATGAGTAAATAATACTCCGTTTAGAGGTTAGAAAGCCAAGAGGAAAACTATGTTTACCATATTTTTACACTCAAAGTCTAATTATATTGGATACACAATGAGTGAAAAATGACTTTGAATGATTGACTTTGATGTACTGTACATTCATGGAAGCTGTTTTTTTTTTCCCCAGCAAAGAAGATGAAACAGATAAGGAAATGCGAGGTGGCCTATGCCTACAATCCCCAGAATGAGGATGAGATAGAGCTGGTTGTTGGTGAAACCATAGAGATCATCAGTGAGGTAAGGAGGTATCGTTGCTCTCACCACCCTCATCCTTGCTAAAGTGACTTAACCTTAAAAAAAAACAAAGATGCCGGAAACCTACAGTTAAATAATGGCTTGAAGACAGGAAAAACATTGTTTTCCAGTACAAAAGAAAAAGAAGAAAAAACTCAGGTTTTGAGATCTATATATTTAGAAGAGTTGTTGTTTTGTTTTACTGGCAAAGGTTATTAAGCATGTACAGGGCATTAAAAGTGATCATGTGACCACATTATTCTTCTCAGTTTTACATTTCTTGTGTTTACTTTGAATTAAAGGTCCTTGTTTACTTACTAATTTGTTCCATGACAGATTGAAGATGGGTGGTGGATGGGGCTGAAAAACGGCAGATTGGGGGCATTTCCATCAAATTTTGTCAAAGAAGTCTTTGTTTCACCTAAAGGTTCGTTGAGAAATCTTATCAAAATCTATTGTTTTTCCTTTGTCTAACTTTTCATGATGAACTTTGATCCTTTATCCCTTAAAGATGAGGGCAAAATAAGGCCCAAACTATCTGATGCCATGTTCACTAAGGAGGTATGTCCCGCAGAAGCAATAACCCACAAATGTATATGAATGTTTTAATGTCTTAATAATCTAAATATTTTTATTTTTGATTCCCTCAAGCCATTTAAGAGAGCAAGTGTGAGGAACAAAGCAAAAAATTGTAAGTTCACATTAACAAAAGCTTGTGTTTGTTCATTACCTGAAGTGCACAGACAGGATTTCCTCATTTAGGATTTTCTTGATGAATAGCATTTAAAAAGCAGTTTGACAGGTCTATTTATATCTTGACACACAACAGCAAGTGGTGAGACCTGTACTGCTACCAGAACAGAGGAATCAGTCAGAGATAAATAATAATAAAACACTGACGACAGAGAGTGACATATCCTCAGGGTTAAAGGTTTATAACTCTTATCTCTAGGTTTTAAGACAGTTACAGGAAAGGGGTTGTTACTAAATGTTTTGAAAATGATTTGATAAGTTAACATTCTGGCATCTCCTTCCCCAGTCACTCATTCAATGTAATTCTTAGTTTGGGAAAGCTCAGTATTTCTTGTGTTATCTCTTCTGGATCCCCTCAGCTGTGGAGTGCTGCCAGGCCATGTTCCACTACACCGCCCAAGCAGAGGATGAGTTGGACCTGAAAAAAGGAGATGTTGTAAAGATACTGAAGAAGGTTTGAGAACATCTTGTAATTTTCGTCTTTCTCACATGTTTTTTTTACACTGGTGTGTGTTCTTCCACAGAGCTCGTAGTGTACATTGTAGCATATTGTTTGACTGGATAAACCAGTTGTGTCACTTTCAAGGAAACTATGTCCTTCTGTGCACAGAAGCACACATATGGATGTGCTAACACTTTCATAAAGCAGACAAGAGCATCTTTGTTGCCACAATCGACGAAACTACAGCGAAATTCTAACCACAAACAATGAGAAGCAAAACCAGATTTCTTGCTTTTTTGTTGAAAGAGAGGAAGATGGATTTTCTTTAATATTTCTGTGAGATTGATGTCATACAGATGACAGTACGGGTTAGAGTTACCTGTAACAAGTTGAAAAAAACACATGTGCTGATCCAACCTTTAAGTTTTCCTATCCACAGATGTTTTTCTCATTCTTCAACATTTCCAACAGATCTTTTTATGAATGTGAGAATTTAGATTTAATGCTAAGAAACATTTGAAATTAACTGAGTTGCCCTAATGTACCAACAAATCTTAGATGTATTGTTTTGTGACAGATGTTATTCAGCATTTTGCCTCATGATAGGTAGGAAAAGAAAAAAACAGAAGTGAAGTGACTACAGTTAATGTTTTGAAAGCGTGTTGCTTCATTGCATTATGCGAAAGAGACGGGCACTTGAAAGAATGTTGCATGCAAAACACAAACTTGGCGATATGGACGTGGCAGCTGCCCAAAATGAGGATTCTCTTAGATTACACAACGGCAAGGAGGCCCTGTCTTATTTGACCTTTCTGCAACCTTTTGTTCGGCAATTTCTCTTCCCAAAGGAGCGGGCCATGATTGAGCCTCTAATGTGAGTCTTTAATCTTCTTCTGAAGGAAACAGGCGATGAAGGCTGGTGGGAGGGAGAGCTCAACGGGCGCTGCGGCCTCTTTCCTGACAACTTTGTCATGGTGATACCACCAATGGACAGTCTGAAAGTGAGTTAACTCTAACAGAGCCCTGTTGGACTACACCGTCTTCTTTTTAGCCTATTCAAGAGGAGTTTGGCGACCTTACGGAACTGCTACTGAACTGCTACTGGACCACCATGAAACCCTGGGCATGCTTGACAGTAAATAACGCTAAATTTTGCCTTATTCGGAAACACTGTTGTGCTGAGAAGGACTTGACTCCTGTGTGTTTGAGTCAGCCTCTGATACTCTAGCAAGGCTGTAGCACACATTGTGTTATGACTAAGACTTGTCTTCAAACATGCTGTGTTTTGGTGTTACTCACTGAAAATGTCCCACTGTGGAAAAAGTGTGTACAAAAGCGCGGGCTTTAATGCACATGGAGCTGTACCAGAAAAGCCTTCTGAAGTTTCCGTCTCTCTTCCTCTAGTCTGGGATGACAATGCAGCCGCCGACACGCACTAACACCAAGAAACTTCCAGGTAAGATAACAACTTGGATTTTGCATTCTTGGAACAAAGACTCATTATTTCTGGCTGTTTGGTCTTAGAGTGGAATTTGATTAACTGTTTTTGGCTGATAGAGGAACAGGAACTGGCAGCAGTTATGGTACGAGTGCTTTCCAGTATGAGGCATGAAACCATAGAAAATGGTTCTCCAGTACAATGTGAATCAGCCCTAAGGACTTGTTGTTGGCAACGCTAAGCTCAAAGTTTGAGAGTAAAGCTTTAGGACTTTATAATCCCCTGTGAATGAGAATTTCTACATTAATTAACTGACTGAGAACTGAAAGCCCTGACTTCTTTTTGATCAAACATATCCCACATGATACATAACGCTTCCTCATAAGCGACTGTATCTGCAGCAAAGTCTTTTCAGTGACAGATAATGATGTATTCATTCGTTAACCATGCAAACAAAATTATGGCACGGCAGGTGATCTCTACCCTGCGGCATGCATTAATAAACTCACCGAACCAGGAGTGCAGCCTCTTAAAGACTGCTCCTCGCTGAAAAATGTCAGACATTGTTGGTGTTTATCAAATATAACGTTAGAAACATTGTCTCATTGTCATGATTACATAGTTAAGAGCAATTTCACATTTATAAATCTGTCCAAAACAGCTGACAAAAGGAAAACATTGCTGAAAGAATCGCCCGTGTCAGTATCTAATCTGAAAACTGTTTAAAGGGACAAGTGAATAAGGGTATCAAATATTTTGATATTTGATACAAAGGTATTGTTACTTTAAAAATACATTTGTTGATTTTAAGTTAATTACTCATCAAATTACTGCCGTGTAGAAGAACTAAGTAGCCTTACTAGTGGTGGATTTTTGAAAAGATGTTTCCATGCTCTTAGGACTTAATTTGGACAAAGGAATCGTTTTCTAAGTTGACTTGCAGTGTAATGTATTTCAAAAGAGGAAAGCTAGAAACTGAATCTAAATTCCACAAACAGGAAGTGGCTCGGCTTTTGCTGATAAGTGCAGCATGCGCCTTTCTGCAACAAGATAAAGTTCCATCTTTCAAGTTTTTTGGAGGCAAATTATTCGACATGTGCATCAACTTCAATTTTTAAAAAATATTTCCAACTGAACAGAGTCTTACACAAATACGCACTGCTCCACCAGTGCTAACCAGTATTGTACTTTCATCATTTCTGACATGTTATCAAAAATAAGAACTACAGAAGATGTCTCAGACTGCAGTGACATGGGGGATGGTTGAGCTGGTCACATGACTCTGTTTAGGAGTCTTGGAGGAAACAGTGGGTGGGGAGTGGGGGGGGGTTGGAGGAGAGCTCTCACAGGCAACCAGCACGAAGCAGCCTTTGAGCTGCTACTTCTGTGTGGATCATTTGAGGGGGAATATGAGAACAATGCTCTTAACAATCAAGGTAGGCTTTGTGTTCTGTTATACATTTGTGACTACGGCTCTAAGAATAACGCAAAATGCTTTGCCTTGAGTTTTGCGCTCTAAAGAAATTATCTAATCAGCTTCTTCATCCTAATCAGCCCAAAAATTAAATTACTTGCAGGCAGATTTTTAAGATCTGTCAAATTTCTGCACATCCTTGAACATTTCATGTTTCAATCAGATATGTTCTCCAAAGCAAAGCTTGTTTTCTTTTTTCACAAAATGCACAAGCACTTTCTAATCTGGGAAGTTTAGAAGAGTTGTTGGATAAAGTTACTGGATGTGTAATCTTTGCTAATGCTTTTCTAAAACTAGATTGCAATTTTTTACATTAGTATTCCAATATGTCACAGCTGAAGGCACAGTTGTATTTAAAGCACATGCAATACTCTTATTTACAGATTTAACTTTCATTTTCAACAGTTAGTACATTAGAATTATTGATTTAATGCTGTACCTGTACAAAATATACAAATAATGATGCTGTTTGATGCTGTACAGTGCTCGTCAACTCTGATTGGAACCCATTAAACAGGTATCATGTTAGTGTTTTACATTATGGTAAATATCAGAAGTGTCGTAAGTTTGTTTTTCTTTCTTACTCTCTGTTATCAGGTGGTACACGATTGAGGGTCTGCACTTCATGAAATGAAGGTTATTGTTGTCTTGGAGCCCAGCGCACATTTGGTACATGGTGTTTAGGGATAGATGAATTGGGGGCAGATTAATAAAAGCAAAGTTGCAAAGTTTGAACTAGAAAATGGGGCACATAAGGCAGTTGGCAGGGTTTTCTGCAGCAGAGACCCCCTCCCTTGGTTAGGACTTTCGCATATCAACCATTTGCAGGTACTAAAAGTTACAAGATGCAGGAGAAAATGAGGAAAATCTGGAGAGGTTTAATATGATCTCATTCAGCAGGTGCAGGTTTGCTGAGCATCAAGCTTTAAGGAAAGAATCTTTTCCAAATCTGCTCATATTAAACACAAAGACAACGGAAATATGTGCCACATATTCATTTGACTTCAATATAACTGCTTACAGGATTGTTTTTGATTATTCATGAAGAATCTAAATAGAATATGATTATATTGTGTCTTATTGTTAGTGCAGCTTTTGTTTTTTTTTTAGGTAAACTGACAGTTGCTGCTTTTCTTTCAGTGAATATGGATGCTTCAGAAACGGAAAAAGTTGCTCCACCAAAGACAAAAGGTGCAGATTGCATTTATTTTGAAATATATTGCTAGGATATTAATAACATTTTTACACAATGTGATGCTTTTATTTTATAGATGATAAACCCGAGCCTAAAGATCTGAGAAGCAATCCTCCAACCAAAGTCAAGCTTCCAGCATTCAACAAGCCCAGTCCACCTCCAGTTAAAGAAAAGCCAAATAAGGTTGCACTAAAGTGAGTGACACCAAAGAATCTCTCAGGTTCTCACCATGGAACCTATGGAGAAGGAATAGTTAGTCGTTTGCAACCTTTCAAAAAACAAAAAGCATTCAAGAAATGCCATGAGCACTTTTTCCCTCTTTGGTCAGGTATCAGAAATCCAATCTTTTGATCTGAAAGGTTTTTATTTACTGCCACTGGTCGTCATGGAGTCCTTTAAGAAGAATGCCAGGATGCCTGACATTTAGTGGCTCAGTGGAAACTCTTGGATGAGTCAGATCAGAGCAAAACAGATGAGAACAGCCCATTTCCTGTTTCCTGAGAAATCTACACACAACCACTCGCTAAATTGAGAAAATAATGAAATTGCCCTGTCCTGAAGGGGTGCAATTTTTAATCCACTCTTTTCAGGAGTTGCTTTCTGCTTAATCTATGCCCATATTTATTTTGCCATAATTTTGAACTCAAACAAGGCACACACGGTGAAAAGGAGCAGAAAGACAGGGGGATCATTTCTGTGATAAACCAGTTACAATAAACAGAGGTGTACAGAACTGATGTACTGTGCTCCAGTGGCACATCACACAAAGATGGGAAGCTTTTTGTCTTTAGCTCTATATGAACTGGACTAGTTTAGAGAATTAAGAGAATTGTGTTGGATTGAGTTACGATTGCAATACAATGCAAGCAGATTTGAACTGGCTTGAATTGGGCTGTATCTTTGCTATACCTGGAGATGCAAGCTGTGGTGATTTGGCTAAATAAAAAAAAGTTAATTTAGTTGAAACTATGTATTTAAAGACCATTAAATCTGGAATTTAAGTATGAAGAGCAGCTAATATCCCATGTTCACTCTGAAGGTGAAACAGATGCCAGCACAAAACATACCGCAAGTCTTTAAGATGCCAGCTGCCTCGCTCTGCACCTGCCAAAGCTAGAGTTCAGACAAAACGGAAACCACATTCAAATACAGTTTTTACTTCCTTTTGAAACTATAGACTGTACACGATTCACCAGGTACTCATGCAATCCTTTGGTTGTCCTTTCAAAACAATATTGGCATTAGCATTTTTTCTATCACAATTATGATTCCAATAAGAAAAATAACCATGGTGTTGTTTCTCTATCCAGCAGAGTCAATGGCGACCCACCTCCTGTCTCACCAAAACAGAAGAATGGAGGGGATGAATTTGATGGAATTGATGTGCAAACTGAAAAGCTGACTCATCCTACAGTAAACAGAGCCAAACCACCGCAGAGGAGACCACCCTCAGGCCTGGCCACAGCAGCACAGGTACGGTTCACATCTTTAGTTTTTTCAGTAGTGTAAAATTGGGTTCCATGGAGTTAATGAGAAAATCTGAAGATGCTGCCTAAGAGACTGAAAAAATGCCACAACATCCTGTGTCATCTGGTGCATACTTGTATGTGAGGCAGAATACCTTGCAGCCATTTAATTTGGTTGGCAGAAGACTGCTTTAAAAGTCTTGTTCACTTTTTCAAAACTGCTCCACGGATAACTGTTTGGATAAAAGTACTCACACAGGCTGGGTTTATTCCCGTATTGCACCTCACATTAAAGTACAGCAGTAAAACAGGAGAAAAGATTGTAAAAGATGCAGAGATAAGACCTTTAGTACTTGCATGGGAGCGATGAAATGTGCTCAAAGGCAGGAGCAAGAGGAAATGCTCTATAGCAGATATGCTGTTGTTTTTATGAGACACCCAAAACAATCAGTTCATGCCTCATCTTTTAGTTACCAATTCATTTAGAAAAATCAAGGAATTGTTTGCCTGACAGATCATTTCCATTTGCATTGGGCAATGGAGGAATGGTTGACAGTTTCTCTTTTTGACAGACTGCAGCAGACCAGACAGAACCGGATATACCAACAAAAAAGTTCAACACAGACAAACTTCCTGGCTTGCAAAAGGTTTGCAGCACACTTCTTTTAAACGGAGGCATCCTGTGTGTCTTTGGAATCTTTGATGAAATAACATTCAGCTCAAACTTTATCCCTTGTCCTTTAACTCAAGCCTTTAAGCTCATCTGTTGGTAAAACACAGGAAGAATGTGTTTTTTTTCTTTTTAAAGGTTTATAATTTTAAATATTCTAAAAATCTGCGTTACAAAGTCCTGAAATGTGAAAAAAATAAATAACACAGTTTACGTGACCACTCATGAGGGATACACTGATACAAGTTATAGCAGAATAGTTAGAAAAAGTTAAAGTGATATTTGTATTTCTCTTGAATGAAGGACTTTTTTAAGACCGACTGAAAAGGATCTATTCCAGCACATTCTTATTGCAAAACTGATTAAGATGACACAAATGACCAAATATGAAGAGTTCAATCATTTCTGCATTGTCATATTAATAAACTGAAATGATTGCAGGGCACAGAAAACCTCCTCATATCACCTGCAAAGCCTGAACTCCCACCCAAGACACCACCTCCCGTCCAAACGCCACCTCCCAAAGTGGTTGTGGAAAACAAAACTGTGAACCATAAAGATGAAGAAACAACTATGGAAAGCCTGCAGGCAGAGATTAAAGAGCTGAGGATGGCTCTTGAGCTTCTTCAGGCACGACATGAGTGGGTGGAGCTAATTTTCAGTGTTTAAATTTAAGTGTCTGAATAAGCTATGGCTATGTGATCGTAGCAATGTTCAGGTACTCCTCTGTGCCTCTTCCTGACATCTTCAGATCTGGTGTTCCGTGCAAACACAGGAAGGGATTTGTCCAAATTCAAAAGAGATATATAAACAGTAAACACACATGCTCCATTTAAGAAAATTGCTGTCTCAACTACGTACGATCTTTAGTCTCTTAGATTTGCTAAAATGTCAAACTCAGCTGGTTGGCAAACAGAACCCATGCTGTATAGAGTGGGTAACTTTACATTTTTAGAAGTTTGGAACTGTCATAATGTCAGTATAAATCATAATCACTCAAAACCTGTCTACTTTTCTCTTTTTTTTAAGTGACAAGTTAATTGTTCTGCCAGGAAAAAATGATGTCTCTCCTTTGACTTGACAGGCATTGGATAGTGCAGTTGACCCACTTAGATACCCCCATGCCCACATCTTTTATTATTTCTCTTTTGATAAGGCACGACATGAAGGAAGTGAAAGAAGAGCTGAGAGAGGAGAGAAACAAACGGCTAGCTCTGCAGGTCAGTGAGGCATGAATCCAGTTTCGTATGTATCAATACTGCCGGGAAAAAAAAAAAAGAATACAGATTCTGTGGCTCTCAAGAGCATATCTGATAATTAAGTGCCATTTTCCTTCCTGCAGGTGGATGTACACAGTTTGAAGGCAGCGCATTAATCTCAACAAAGACTGACCACGCTGCCTGTCCGACGCTGGTATGCACACCCTGCTGGACTGCAAATGCTATCAAGATGAAGATTCTACTGACACCGATTGAGAAAAAAAAGTAGAGGGGGAAAAAAGATAAACTCAAGCATGAGACGTAGGAGTGAAGGAAATATCATAGAGCATTTAGGGAATGTTGGAACGTAGAGCTGTGTAATGACCCAGAGAGATCAAACATCAAAATTATTATAAAAATGTCAACCTATCAAAAAATGTTTATCCAATTACGATAATGGAAATCAAAAGCTATGGTCCAAATTAACCAATGCTTGGTTGAAGATGTAAGATCGACACTGTTCTTTTTCACTGTAGATTTTTCTGTTTTCTACTGAACTGTAGGTTTCTACTTTTTATGCCTCAGAAGAATTGTAATATATGTTGCTGTACATAAAAGGAAATATTGTGACTCATTTTACAAAGAGAGACGATTCCTCTCTTAACATTTTTACCTGAATGTTAATAAAGAACGTTTTGCTGTCAAAAACTTCACTGCTGTTGAAGGTGAATAAAACAGTGGGTCCACTGTGGGTGTAAAAGTTGCTATAAAAGCATATAAATATGCTATAAATAACTTATTGATATCATTATCCAGCCTTTTTTATGTGTTCACAGTTCCTGGAGTGCATACTAAAACATGCATACATACTTCTCCGGAAATATTACTTGCCTCTGCGATGTGGTTCAGAACTGCCCCTTTTGTCTTTCGTTGCTACAAGATTGCTACATAATTATTAACAGGTCTCAGGTCTTTGAATCAGGTGAAGAAGTTCCAAAAGGGTCGCATGACCTAGCTGCAGACTGTAGATTTCACCCAGTTCCAATGCTTGGAAAAATGTTCTTCTACATGAAGACAATTTCAAAGTCGATTGTATCAAGTCATATTGATTGTGAAAGTTCAGCAAGCTCATCTATATTGGGTTCATGTCAGTGACGCTCATCCACTGTGCAGGAACTACCCTCCTAGCACATAAGATAGAAAGCCCCATTTACATCCATTTGTTGTGTGATTTAATCTAACCCGAGTTTCAGTCTTTGAATTGTTAATTGTAATTATCGGTCATTCTGTTCAAGATCAATAAGACCTAAATATGTCCACCGTGTGTAATGTGTAGAGTCAGGCCACTAGAGGACAGTGTTTATCAATTCTTCCTCAAAGAGTAGTGAAGTAAAGCCCCTCGGGGAAGGCCTGTTGGTAGCAAATCGTAGAAGTAACTTAACTTTAGAGGATAGAACTCTCTTCATATCAGAAGCAGATTAACAAGGAAATATTTCTTCATGTTTGATATTCCATGAGCTAGTGCATGTTCTTGTTCATTTTAAAACTGGTAAAATACTGCAGAAGCTGTGCTGCATTTGTATTAATATTCACAGTTATGTGGAAAAGGCAGGTTTGTGTCACTGAGGAAAACCGACACACCCTGAAATCCCACAGCTCTGTGACTCATCCTCTTGGAAGTAAAAGATATGGGAGGATTAAGAGACCATTTTCTTGACCCATCGAAGTCACAATCAGACATGTATTTGTCATGACAATACTCAGATAAAAGACTGTCTCTAAGAGGTGTAAAATGGTTTTGGTTTCATTTAATGATGGTTGTCAGACAGATGGGTGCATTGTGCTCCAAAGACAATCAGCGTTGCACGGTGTAGCACACATCTGGACAACAGCTGGAGCCCATTGGGGGAACAGACACTCCTGAAATGTCCAAATGGTCAGCAAGAGCAAGTCCCCTCTCAGAAAGTGCAGGAATGACCAATGATCCCTGCCTTTGTAGAGAGCTCTGCCTTCATATCTGTGGATTATATTTCCTCAAAAACCTGTTTTCCACAGGTTCAAATACCCTCAGTATTGACAGAGGTGGCTTAGATTACAGGGATCACAATTAATCATACCAAAGCTGCATTACTCTGGAAAATGTTTAACTTAATGTACAATATGGCGACAGCACAGCACGTGCACCCTTGCATTAAATTGAATTGAATTGAATATACTTTATTGATCTCCAGGGAGAAATTGACTTCCAGTACAGCCCGTACCAAGATCAAACAAACAAAACATTAGTAGAATTTAAAGCAACGTCATAGAATCTATAGGGAGAGGTTAAAATCGAGTGTTGAAAAAGGAAGTATTTTATACGTCAGGCCAGATGTAAAAAAAAGAAAATTAAAAAAGAAAATTGCAGGCATAAATTAGAATTAATGGAAAGTAGAAGATTGAAAACAATGCAAATCTTCATGGTTTTCTATTGATGTTCTTCATGTACAAAACCCTAACAATCTTGGTCAGTGTGATAAAACTGATTTATACTTAATTTATAGACACGCAAAGAAAAACAACCACACACACAGGGACATTTTGGAATGTCCATTTAACTTAACATGCAGGTTTTTGGATTGTAGAAGGAAGCCAGATAACCCATGCAGGTACAGGAAGAACACACAAACTCCACACCAAAAGGTCCTGGTTCCCTCCGGGGATTTTAACCCAGAACCCTCCTGCTGTGATATGATACTACTGGAATCAGTGGAACCACATATATAGTGGTGCATGTGCAAGTTTTAGTGCATGCTTGCTTCTAATCACATATCCAAAATTTGAAATGCTTTAAGATAGACTTTGAGGGCTCTAAATTGGAGGAAGCTGTCATGAAGAAGAAGTTTATCCAAATGTAATCCACTACTAATTCATCTATTCTCCAACCCCGAGGCCACGAACATCCTGTGACCACATAAAAGAAAAGGTTTCCAAGGCCTCGGCAGAGAAGACGCCAGCTGAAAACACAGGGGACCCTAAGGCAAACCTGCGTCTGTCTGCTCCCTCAGCACAGTTTCCTCTTTGAGGACAACCCGAGCCAAAGGTCTTGGCTTGTCTCCTGAAATCAGAAAAAACAAGACCACTTGCTGTGCTAAACAAATGTCTTGAAAAACATGGATGAAAGGCCTTTGTGGGTTCTGGATGGCTGTCAGGAAGATTGTTGATACATGCCATGCACTGATGAGTATTTAGCTAATTTTCCGCTTTGCATGGCTTTGCATATGTGCCAAGAATTCATACTCCTACCCCTTGTAAATCAAGGAACTGATGGCTGACTTGTGATAACGTCCAGCACAAACACTCACCCAGTGTGGGCAATTCATCAGTGTTCTGCAAGGCTTTATTGGCAGCCGAAGAACATTTCAGTCAGCCAGCAAACTTGGAACAAATTTACTATGCAAACAGAGTTTATATTGGCCATCTCAGCTCAGGATTCATGATTCCCAGCAGGTACCAAACTCAGAAGAGCAGAGCCTTAGCAGCAGTTAGAGCAAACTCCTCCCGAAACCCCATTACAGACCATGACAACAGTCATTATTTGGAATCCATTATGTGATGCTTCATTCACAAGCTCAGCACCACTCCAAGTGAATGTTACGTCTGATTAGTGTTTTCTTTGTTTGACCAAGACTCGTTTGTGTGTGCCCATTGAAATAATTTCCAGTGAAGGTATTTAGAAAAAGAAAAACTTGGGTTGCTGCAGTGAACAGCAGCTGATGAAAAGACATATGTGATAGAGAACTGAGTCAATAGGAAAAGTGAAACACTACTGAAACTGAGGGAGCACACATAAACAGGAAAAGCAATAAAGAGATCAAGCCAACTATCTTTCCACTGTGTTGAAAAAGTTGTAAAAACTTGTTTACTTACCTTGTGTCCAACTAAACAGCTGCTGAATGTCCAATGGGCTGATTTTATGGGGAAGTAATTACATTTATCAGCTGTGGATTAAACCATTTTTTCACGCTAGTGTTCAAGATTATACTGCTCAAGACCCAACTCTGCTTCGTCCAAATCAGAATCTTAACAAGACACCCAAACCCATACAAACAATGTAAATAAAAATGGGTAAAAAACATAGGTAAGCACACAATTTCAGAAAAATCAACAGAAACCTCAACAGAAACATACAGAAAGACTCTTGCTGTATGTGCATACAGAAAGAGTAAACAGATGACATAAACATGCGGGGTTTGGGAAAACTGTGGTGCAGCCCAACTGGAGGCACACCTTTTCTTGTTTTTTTTGTTTTTTTTCTTATTTGACTGAAATTGTGAGGAGAAACAACAGTAGACTTGCTCAGATTTAACTTTTAATTTAGTTGTTGGCATTTTTGGTTTATGTCAATCGAAAAATTTACCAGACATGTGCATCTGACTCCCATTACCTGGTTATTATGCATTTGTTCAAACAATACAGTTTCCTTCTGTTAGTACAACTTTATATCCTCTTAGGAATACACCGAGAAACAATGTTGGGTTTTCTCCATAAACTCATCCATTCTCTCTCTGAACAAGTTATCTTTATTGCAAAATCCACAATCAATGTTTCATTTTTCAATCATTATACATAAAAAACGTATTATTTTCTGATATTAAGCACCGGTGATAGACTAACTTTCCCAAAAATCCTTCGGCTTACACGTTTTTACCATTCCATTTCAAATGGGATAAATTAGCCACATCTCTTGGTTCAGTTGTATGTAGTCAAGTGAAAAGAACATACGATGCTACAGAGGAAGTGCAATATCTTCGAAGTACATCATTTGTGGTATTATCACTTTTTTTTTCCAGTTCCACAAGTCATTTTGTATGAAAAACAGTCTCTCAGGCTTTAAGGACACCAGGCCCGCCCAAAGGTCTACAGTATGTTCTCCTCAGAGCTCACAGTGTTTCCCTTCTTGTCTCATGGATTCTAATAGTAGTGTACTCTTCCAATAGTCCCTGTTCCTGTCCCCAGGATATCAGGTTGGCCATTCCTCCAGATCTCCCGGATGATCCTTTCTCGTTCCTCGAGTCGCTGTGCACGTTCCAGCTCTTCGGCCGAAGTGAACACGTTAACGCTCAGAGATCCATCCGACTGGCTGGTGTGATTCCCCACAGGGATTTCCGTGCTGGGCAACAGGACCGGTGCCTCAACGTCGTCCCCTGCTTCGTCCTCCTCGTCATCGCTCTCCTCGTCCTCCTCGCTCATGTCTTTTAGGTGTTTCTTCTCAGGCATGGAGGGTGCAATGTTGGTACGCGTCTTACAGGAGATGCGGATGACCAGGAGGCAGAGCGTCAGCACCAGGCCAAAACACACTCCAAGCACAAAGTAAAGGCCAAAGCTTTCTGGATTTGCTAAAAAAAAAAAGATAAAAAAACAAACAGTTGATATATAGCTTTTTTTTAAATTTATTTTATGATTATATAATTAATTCCCCATTAGAGTGTTATTTACCTTTTATGTGTGCAAATGCAGCAATACTGTTGCTTAGGAGGTCCATTTCTTTTTTCTTGACGTCCATGTTGATTTTGACTTTGCCTTCTTGTTTCACTTCTGAAAAACAGTAAAAGGAAAAGAAAATGTCATTTGACTTTGTCATGATATAGTGGAACACTCCGCCGGGTGTCACATCTTTTAAATGTTCTCCATGTCTGTTGTTCCTGTGTAACATTGTAGTTTGACTCAGTGCCCAAATGTCAAACCCACTGACTTCTTCATTTGCCTCCGGGTGGGCAGGAAGGCCTCCAAGACTCTGACAAAAGCCTCTCTGTGTCCATCTTAAGTACTGATTTCATCCGGGATCATCATAATGCATGTGGCATATGGCACCATGCCTCTGCCATTCTCTCTGAACCATGTTAAAGCCTTGATAAATGAGGTCAAGAGTCAGTTTTTCAAGTAGTCACAAAGGACTCCAAACTGTCAGAGGGGACGACCGGATCAGTTTGAAAAGCCCAAAAGGAAAAGGCCAGAGTATTGTTGTATTGTTTGAACAGCGTATGCCTGACATTTAAGAGGTCTATGGTTCTTGTTTCCTGTCAGTTCGATGCGCTCTGTTGTGTTTGTATCTATCCCTATGTGCATTCATGACTCGTAACACTCCCCAGGAGGTCTCTCTTAAAGGAAAGCCATGGAGCCATCTGCCTCAGGTTAATTCTTCTTTGAACCATGATTGTTCTTTCAAGAAATAATTGCTATAGCCATCTGTGAAACCTTGATACTTCATCCTCCCTCTGTAGCTTTTGTCTTAAGGAACAGAAAGAGTTTTCACTTCCCTGAACTTGATGACATTGTGTTGCAACACGAGAATGGCACAAAAGAAAAATGAGAATTTAATCGAGACACATAATGCTGGCATCATTCCTTTTAGATGCGTGCTTCATTTTGTGACTGGCTGCAGAGAAAGCATTCTTTTCATGTCAAAGATGACAAACGCCAAAGCCCTCCCATCCTAACCTGCACAAACCTGTTCTCTAAGTCAAGCCACATGTCACTATGCCTGTGCACGGATCATATGGACATCCTCAAACTGCACTCACCACATGTTTATGTTTGCTTTTACCTCTAAATTGCACCCACTGGTAAACTTGATGCATGTTCTCTATCAATCTGTGACTATCTCAGGGATTTATGCAGCATTTGTACTCATTAGCTGATCAAGATTTTAGAAAAGTCCAAGCATAAAACCACATATGTTTAAACCATGTGTAATGCAACCCACTAGGGGACTTAAAAACACAGAGAATTTTCTCCTGTAAAAGTTTAAGTAAACACAAAGCACAGTACAGAAGAAGTATAAAACTCACCACAAAAATTAAACCAAAATGTAAATCCTCAGTCCCAGCTCATAATGTGAAGCGAAGCTGCAGAATGGATGCAAAATGATTGTGCCCCTCTTCGTTTCTCTCTGCTCTCCTTTGCTGTCGGAGGCCTGTGATCTTTGGTCCTCAGGCAAATAGTTCATTTGGCCATCCTGCGACAAGAGCAAACACATACACAGACACACACATGCAGACACGTCAAACTACATTAGATCCACACTCACTGAGGCGTCTGCAATGCAAACAACGGCAGGCCTTTCACAGAATATACCGTCTAGCAACAGGGTGAATGCAGGCGTTTTATTTTTTTTAGCCTTTCAGCTGCATTAAAACAGATTAGAACATCCAGTCGTTGCAAAAGTTCAGACATGTGTGTTTCAATCTGAAAATGCAAAGCGAACATTACCTTTATGCTTACATTTTTTCTCCACCGGCAAGACTTTAAAAAGAAGTATCTTCACATGGATACCACACAGACAATCCCTTTCAAATAATATGCAAACCAATGTTACTGTTCCCACCAGAGTCCTGATACGACTGACTGGACTGGACTTTCGAAAAACACATTGACATGTCAGTCCAAAATACATGTAATCAAAGTCTCAAAACTAATTCAACCCTTAAAAAAAAATCCAAATTTTATAATTACAGCATCACCAGATGCTGGATTTAGTTTAAATCCCCAGTCAAATCCGTTCAAATCCCACTGTGCTTTTCCAGGCTGAAAGAATTCTGACAGCTTTCTATGTTGGTAAGTCAATGACTACTCAGCAACACTTCAAAGAATAAGATACTACCAAAGTTCCAAAAGGTCATCCCTCAATGTCAAGATGTTGTTGGACATTGCTATGGATTTGATTTAAAAGAGTTAAAAAAGTTACAAATGGTCCAAAGTGATAGATTTAAAAATTTCACAGCCTAGTTATAGACTCACATAGTTTTAGCTAAGGCTAAATTTCTCTTAGCCACTCTTATTTTCTGGAGGATATTGTTGGAAATGCCAGGTGCCAAATTAAATGCTGTGAAAAATGCTGAGCAGGGAATTTTTCAAACCTGTACCTTTTGTTCAGGAAAAAGTCCTCTGCCAGCTGCAGTTGGTTTAGCGGAGCCCCTGTGCTTCCTGGGCAGATTTCAATCTTGCTGACTCCTGGCAGATCCAGTGCACTGAACACAGTGAGACAGCATTCGGGGGCTGACTGACAGAACAGTCTCTATGACAACGTCGTTTCCAAGCCACCCCCTCGGCCTTAGTGGAAGGAGGACGCTTGCCTTTTGTTTTTTCCGTTGCACATGGACCTAAGTGATGCCTTTCAGACAAGATTCTACCAAACTTAATTTCCTCCTTCCTACAAAGTTTAATGGAATCTATTAATTATCCAAGCAGGATGTCCAACAGAGGCTTTTAATGAGATGTTTTGTTTTAGTCTCAGAGGTAATAAAGAGGATGTCTCAAATAAACAGGAGTCATTCTTCTGGCCAAGTCGAGGCAAATGTTTGGGCATCTGCAACAGAACGACCAACCCCTTCTTTTGTGAATCCTTCAAAATCCAGGATTTATAACGGATAGTCGATGACGTTTGAAGTTTATCATAGCAACAAATATTTTTTTGTGGTGCTTTAACAGATCTTCTTAGCTTTAGTTTGTACAATCATAACACCTCTAAAATGACCAAATTAGCATAATTAATCACATCTCTTCAGCCTTTTAAAATCAATTAGAGATTAAAGACAAGTGCGACTCAGTTTTCCAGTAAGGTTCTCAGACGTGCTACAACAAATGTGACTGCACCACGCCTGATATCCTGTGACGTTAGTGTTTGGTCCTATTTTTCATCCCTGCTAGCTTATCATTTGCTCTTCCTGGCCTCATATCCTCAGGTTAAACACCCAGGCATCCTCTTCCTGAGTCCTTTGCGTGCTATGGGCTGTCAACCTCCTAATGCATCTGGACAGTTTTAACATAGTGGGAGAATTATGCTTCTATTTTAAAAGAAAAAAACAGAGCAAAAACTATTGAACAGTTATTCAATATCCAACACTCCAGAAACAAATGAGTCACCAAGTCTTACAAAACTGTCCGCAAGGAGCTATTTATGTCACATCCCAGCAGAAGCCACATAAACATGCCGTGTTGTTGTGGCCTGGGAAGAGGTCAAACACTATTTTTGACAGGGAGTGTTTGCTTTGCTTCTGTGATAGAGAAACTCTAAATGTAGCATGAGATTTTGGTCTGTATCCACTCAGAGATAACCACAATTGTTCTTCCCTCTCACACGCGCTGTCCATTTCAGTTTGGACAACATCCACAACAGGACCTTCCTTTTGCATCATTGCTATTGTCTAAAGTAAGTGAGACACAATGACTGAGGGGTCTACTGTACACATGTGTCAGCATGATGATTTATTAGCACAGTTCTGCCCAACTGAAAACCAATGGCTCCAAAGAGCCAAGTGAGGATGTGAAAAAAAAAAGCACAACTGATAGTACCTCAGAGAGTTAAAAGTATATGCCGTTTCTTTAAAACACCCCAACAACAGGGCATGGAATAAAATGGTTGTCATTCAAGTTTGCAGTCTACATGTTTCCTGAGGATGATTCCCAGAAGAGGCAGGTACAGAATACAGAACTGGTCCTAGTCCTTAATTCTGTTGAGTTCCATCACTAACTCAGGTGTGTGTGAGAGATGCAGCATTTTTCATGTAGAAACTGTAATAAACTGTAAAAATATCTATGCAGTCCACCAAAAGCAGTGTCATTGATTCCAGTTATTGTGTCCACTGTCACAGGCTACAAAGACTAAGCGAAAATGTTGTTTTAGGACTGTGACATGTGACATTTTCAACATCTTTTACGTTCATTTCTGAAAGTAATGTTAAATCTGGATTTGTAATGATCTAGTGTATCAATTACAGACCTATGTATGTTAGAAATTAGCCCTAAGACATCCCGTCTGTCAAAGTTTGTCATGAAATATAACTCTCCATTATCAAGTTCAGTATTACATTCAACAAACAGAAGTCACACTAGTCTTCTTTCACAATGAAGAAATCAAAATAACCCTTCAGGGGAACTTATTCTGTCAAGCCACATTTGATTTATACCAAATATGAAAAGGTCAAATTACACAAAGGAGCCAGTCTGTGTAATTTCCTCAATGTAATGACACACACTGAACCTTAGAGGGGAAGAAATACTTTTAATCATTAAGATTTCTGTGAAACTAAAACAACTGTGGTTTGCCTGGGATGCTATTTCACAGACAGAAGTAGTGGAGATAGTGTATATACACTCATCTGGGTCATTTATTCACAGTTTTCAGCTTCCAGAGCACATTCTGAAACACTGCAAGTTCCCCTAAAAAAAATAGTTGGTCCGAGATGCCTTGGCTCAGCTTATTCTCTTACTCCTGAAGAAACTATCCAAGCAGCTGATAAAACATTAAAAGGGACTGCCAAACTTCGAACAAAAAAGCTGAAACTGTATCATGAAAATATCTGCTGGATTGCATTACCTGCGATTAATCACACCTGTAATCAAGCCAGAGAATAGTGTCCAAGTACCATAACATAATAGAGCTTCAAGTTCTCCCCAAAGGAGCGGAGATTCAAGCGATTACTCTTCACTTGGTAAACAGAACCACGGCCCAAACCAAACTCTCTGTTTACAGTGTCTGTGAAAGCATTCATGAAGGTCAGCAGGGTAAAGGTACTTTTCAGTCATGTTGAGTTTTAATCTGATTCAGGAAGCATATGAAGGGATGAATCTCTGGAGAAAGTAAGTGTTGTTCATTCCCAGTTTCTCCTGGTATCAACATCTTCAAACTATGTGTACTTTGAGATCTTCTTCGCTACTGAAGACTCTCCTACATTATTTAAAAGAGACCAGTTGGGTAAAACTCAACAGAGAAATTTCTCTCTTCACTTATTGTTTTTCTTTTCTTTTCTTTTTGACACAGGAAAATGTTGACCCTGGTTCAGCTGTGGTCCTCCCTCTTCTTCAGCTAAGGGGCTATAAACATGTCTTGTTTGTTAAAAATGATGATAAAAGTTTAGTTTTGCAAATACCACCGACAAATCATTTGTTTGTTCTGTATCCTTTAACCACACTGTGTAAAGCTCGTTCACAACACCAGATAAAGTTTGCTCTCATGTGAAGGACTAATGACCATTACAACTTTCCAGAACTCTACACACTTTTTGGGCTTTCAACTACATCTGAAGATTAGAAATTGTTAGACACTGTCCAAAGGAAGTCCCTGAGTGCAAATGTCTTCTGTTTCCAATTAATCAAGAATCAGGGACATGAGTGGATGCTTCGATCATATATTGGAAGTGAGACACCAGGGTAGTAAAAGATTTCTCACCATTTTATTCTTCACAGTTGATGAAGGAAAAAATACCCTTTGCGTATGAACTGGATGAGCTGTGACTGTTTTGAAAGCTTGTCTGTGGGATCTATTTAAGCAGTTCCCTCAGGAAAATAATAGAAGTGTAAAGGACAGATTCCTGGAGTCCACAACATGTAACATGTTAAAAATGATTGGCTGAACACGTAAATGTGGAACTGGACCACAAGAAAAAAAAGGTGAGTAAAAAGTTGTTTTTTTTATACTAGCTGATAAGAAACGGAAATAAAAACAGAGGAATTTGTATTTCGTTCCAAAGCAAGCTCTCTTTGTCAGTTTTCAATGCTGCAAATATGATGAAGTGTTGTCTTTTCTGACTAACAGCAGCTGGCTGTTAAACCACACAAGTATTCTTGTAGTGTTTAAAAAAGCATAACCTCTATTATTGTATTTTGTACTTTGGGGAGCTCCCCAGCCCCTGTAATCCTCAGAAATCTGTTTGACCTGCTGGGTTAAAAGCAAATACTGAAATCTCCACAACAATTAAATGACTTGACCTGAGAAAGAAAAAAAAACTCCCAAAAAAGACCAGAATTGTTTTCACTGTACAAAGAGTACAAAGTATTACTTTAAGTTAAGGACAATTTCCCTTTAAATGAGCTTGATTGAAAGTAATTTTGACACTAATCATGGCAAAAAGCCCCTGCCATCAGCAAAGTCAAACAGCGTCAGAGAATGTAAAGTTAGCTCGAGTAGGTCTGAACTACAGTGCATGTACATCTAGATAAAGTCATTTTGTGCAATACCAAAACTGCTGTTTTTGCCACAGTGGAGGATTTGATTCAATCCAATCCCCTTGAATAAGTTTCTGTGTTCGATATGAAGCAGAAAGAGAGCTTTGTTGTTTCTTATGTTGACACGTCTAGCTTTAGGCGTGTACTTTATTTGACATGGACTCAACAGCTTCGAATTCAAGGACAAAAGCTTTTTCCAGGAGTAAATGTTAAATCTACCCATTCAGGCATTGTTGGCCAGTTATTATTTGACTTCAGCCTTTTTACTTGTCAAAGAGTTATAGAGTCAACATAGCTCTGCATGCCAACGGGACTCAGGCCTGGCCAAGAGTAAAGAGTGGAATGACTCCTTTTGTGTCTCTGAGAGTGAACCACTGTGCGCTGCTTGCCCTGTGAAGAGTATGTTTTGTTGGCCCTGGCAGGTAATAGGAGGGTAATAGAGATGCTAGACTGAGCTGGGGGTTAGGGCAAGTGGTAAATAGCAACCAGATGTGTTCCAGATGTGGCATAGACTAGAAATGCTTTACTATGGTAATCAAGAAGATATATGTACAGTGTTCCATATTCGTAAAGACTTTATCAAGGTATTTTAAGGTAAACAAAGGTCACGTCAGTGATTATTTCTTTGTCTTCTGACAGGGTTTGTGTATGTATTCTTGCTTGTGCTCCCGTGTGTTAAAATGGATTCACATGAGCATTCCTTTGTGATGCTATAAGGCAATGATGGCTTTTGAGTACCCTCAAGGCAAAGCCCTAAAAATAGAGCAGTGATCTTACTCCCTTCATTGATCTGGGAAACCATGTGGCAGCAAAATCACATGCCATATCAATTACATGGACCCTCCAGACTGTACCATCACACAAAAAATATGTTTGCCTACGGCACGACTACAAGCCTATTTTCTTTTTCTTTTTTTCCACTGCTCGCAAACACATTGCAGCTCCTTTAGATTTAGGATGTACTGTGAGGGCAGGAATATGTGCTCCGGTACAGAAAAAGCATTGAGGGCTGAGTACATGATTTTATATCCTGTGAGTTAGTAGCTTCGTCGGACCTCTACACAGAACCACTAAAACACAATTACTGCCATCTGACAATATACCAACGTAGTGATGAGGAAGTCAGCAAGGGTGTATCTCAGACAGTGAAGTATCACTAAGAGCCAAGAGTCCTATTCGAGTGAAAACACACATAAAAAACATACATCAACTACTTAGCGTGACTGTTTACACACTTACCTGCATGCTAGTCATGTTTCCAAAGGATTCCCCTAAAAGGCAAACTCAGAGTGCAAAATAAAAAGGCTGTTCGAGATGATGGCTGTGATAGCCAGGGGTGGAAGAGATCTGCTGACCATCATCTGATCTACCATGACTTCACGCTCCATAAAATTATTATTACAGCATTTCAGTTCCACATTAATAGATTATAAAATAGAAAATAAATATGTTCTCCTGCTGAAAATGTGCTTTATGCCACAATCAGGCCCTGAGTAACAAATGTGAACGCTGCTATCACTGCATTCGTGTTTGGTTAAGGTGGACTATGTCGGGACAGAGTTGAAGTGGGGCGTAGAAGGTTATGTACCAGTTTTGTACTGGCAGCAGAGGCAGTCGCAAAGCTGAATTTAAATCTGTGTATCAGGCTAAGCGTGCCCGCTGGAATCCTGATGCCCCTCAGCTGACCCAGAAGTGTTTGCTTGATGTGTGCAGGCTGGCTCTGATGCAGCGCTGCAGCTAGCACCCCATGTTTGGTGTGCGTAAATTCCCAAAGAAGAAGAGAGGCTCCTTAAACAGAAACGTTTCTTATTGTTTTTGCACTGATATGGCAAAGCTGCTGCGTGACCTCAAATTTGGATGTTAGCTTTTGAAGTGTTTCCAAAATCTGACCTTTACCCCAGCCTTAGGGAGATTATCCCTTATGCCAAAACTTTTCCATTCTCTGCACAATTCAAACTTTGTTTTGTTTTAGTGATAGTCAAATCATGATGACATGAATGATTAATCATAACCCCCTCAAGATACATTTTCTGGGCTTCTCAGTTTTTGCTGTGATCTGCCAGTTAACTGAGTTTTTAAAAGGATCATGCTTGTCTTGTGCCACACTGAAACTAACAGTGCTCATGTAACAGACATATTATTTTGCAGTATTGCTTAAGAAAAAGAAAGTCTATCGACATGATGATGATACTTTAAAAACCTGCTCATCCAGCTGTTCTAATATCAATGCTTAAATAAGTTTAGTGGCCTAAAAGGTGCCTGAGTTGACACTGTGCGAAGTTTGAGCTGAATGAAACTATCAGTATCACCCCTGAAAACTAGACCAGAACCATGGGAGTTTAGACAAGCAAGTCAAATCCCAGTTCAACCTTTGACCTCTGGGTAAACAGAGTAAGTTAACAACCATCCTCAGGACAGATAAGACAGGCTGACTGATAAACGAGGCTCTGGGGTGATTCTGTAAAGGGAAATCTGTTAACTTGAATTGCTTGAAGAGGTCACACAGAAGTCAACACCTCTCATTCAGCCTTGTAGGGGTTCAACAACAATCCCTCAAATTCCTCCGATGGAGAGTGATCACAGTGACTGGAGGAAACTCAGCTAAAGTGATGCCTGACTGCCTAGATAGTGAAAATTAATGGAGACCCCAGAGAGCAAGCCGGCCCGTCCAGCCACCACCCATCACCTCCCTTCTTCTCCACCACACATTTTCTTGGAGGTGCTAACTAGAAACATCCAGCGGAGAGAAAAAGAGATACTGGATCTGAAGCATATGGCAAGCTGATGTCACGCCAGAGCGTTTCTATGAGCCTGTTCTTTTTTAAAAACAGAAGCTGCATGAGAAAAAAGTTTTTGAAATCCTTTATGTTTCGGATTGTATAACATCTACTCTCCATGACTTCAAAAGGGAAAGAAAAAATATAGAAAACAGCAAGATGTTTGCCTTTATTGAAGAAAGACGTGTTGGTTATTGATATAGTAATAAGTTATTTTACTAAGCACAGCAAACTTTGAACATACCCTGCAGCTGTACAGGAAAGCCAGGGCTGGACACTCCTGTCCTAACTCTGCCTTTCTCTGGGATGGACACAACTATGACATATCTAAAGCTACAGTGTCCAGCAGAACTACACAGTGACGTACTGGCTATGTTTTAGTGGATGTGAACATTCACCTTAGCTCAGACCTGATAACAACAAAAATAATTACTGTTCAGTCCTACAATAACCTGTTTTTTTATCAAGAGCGTCAAGTGCAAAAGTCAGCGAGTTTTTGTTCCATAATCCTAATTATCTTTCCGTCATATTTAACGGAGCTTAATGAAATTGAATTAATGACACAGGGAGCTCACATTTCATTTGATGTGGAAACTTAAGAGTGATGCTATGATGAACACCAGAGTGGAAACCTTTTAGTGGATTTTTTCATGCAACAGCACCTCTAAACAAGCCCGGATGGCTAAGGTTTTAATGATCAGCATAGCATTTAAACTTAACACTGAGCCTCAACGTCTCACAGGGGTTTCCATGGGACTAAATATACACTGAAACAAACTGTCAAACTCACCAGTGAGTGATGGAAAGAAAAATGTCCCCCTGAAGTTGTTCAGTCCACACAGAAAGAGTTTGAAAGAGACTCAAAAATGTTCCTTCCCTCCAAAACACATTAGAAACAGTCCTGACTGTTTCACGGTTGTTGCTGTGGTTAAGTCCTGCAGCGTGTGTGTCTGCCTGAATGCGTGTGTATGCACAGAGTCTGGGGAAGAGGTGGTAACTTCCTCTCAGAGTTGGAGACAGAGTGAGTAACAGAGTTTTCTCTCTCCAGGCTCCAGTTCATGAGAGGCAGGAAAAGCTGTCATACTATCCCTCTTTCAGATGGAAAAAAAAGAGGAACAGCCTAAAAAGGGCAAGATCGAGGAGGGGGGGAGGGAGGAAAACTGGTGTGTGTGTGCGCGTGTGTGTGTGTGCGTTGTGGTGTGGATGTGTGGGGGGGCTTTCCCTTTGTTGTTAAGGAAAAAGGCAAAAAGCAACCTCAGGCAAATGAGTCCAAGTCTTTCCGTGCACAGTCTAATGTGACAAGAAGGAAAACAACTTGAACAAAGATGCTATGTTCAGTATGCACAGCTGCTGCATGAACTCTGTTTATCTTTTCATTTTTCACCAAAACCTCTCTAAAACAGGGAGCTTCTATGGTAAAAAAAAAACCCAAACACTTTCATTTATATTGGATGTTTTTTTTAGAGTGAGAAATCTGTTTAGATCTTACATCTGTAAACATTAAATTGAAGTCATTAATTTTAGTAAAAATGTGTGGAAAATTACAGGAGGTCTAAACAGTAACATTGTTTTTTTAAAGTAATTTAGCTCATTGATTTGCATCACAAGTTCATTTGAATGTTTTAGAGGTGTGGGTAGGAAGATTTTATGTTTGAATATATACATATATATATATATATATATATATATATATATATATATATATATATACTAAATGTAATGTTTTACACTCCACACCAAAATGTGGTCTCAGTGTTGAGAAAAGCACTGAATGCTGGAGGGTGAGGTCAAGTCTGAATAACAAAATAAACAAACCTGCAAGACACAAAGTAGAAAATGCAAATACTGTTGCATTCAAGAATCTAACAAATGATCTAAAAAACTAAAAGTTTTGGACACACATTTCTATGCAAGCAGGTCTGTTTTGTGTGTTTTCATATTTAACATTTAACTCTAACACTACTGAATAGTTTATAATGCTGCGCAAAATGTAAATGAGAAAAGAAAATCACTTTTAAAGGTCATAGATTAATGTAATTATTAAAATATGTGACGGAGAACAAGTTTGGAGGCAGGATAACAAGTGGTTAGTGGTTATAACAAGAGTGCAGACGTGCAACAACCTGTAAGTAAAGTCAGTCATTTAAAAAAGATCCTTCCCAGTGGAAACTGTAGATTATGTAATAAATCATTAGTGACTGTTTCATAACAATATTTGGGGAATGTAGAAACAGTTTTGTGGCAAGAGGAAACAACTAAAATCACACGTGGTTTATTGATATTATTACTGAATTAAAACAGTCCAAAGCAAAACAAATGTGGTCACATATATCAAAATTCCTAAATATTTTGGGAAATTACAGCTACTTCATTTTTCACAATTGCCTGGGAGAGGGAACACCCAGCTTGTCAGCTGGGTCCCTTCAAAAATGTGCATTCCCGAGGTAAGAATCTGAAATATGAATATTTGAATTGGTCACTAAATAGCTTTGACAGGTCTGAACACCAGAACACTTACTTTAACTGAGAATAGCAAACAACCAATCACAATTCCCTCCCTGATATCAAACCAACCCATTCAGTTTCTTGATAATTCTGCACAGCAATGGTTGCCTGTTAATTGAAAGCACTTCATTCCCTGGATGATGGTCAGATCAACTATCCTTGTCAAACATTTTGTCTTGAGATAATGAACACTGTTTTGTTTAACAATGATTTTATTATAACATTTAAAGTACTATCCCCAAAGTATGCTTGAACGCTGCCATGATGTTAACAATCTAGTTCTGTTAAAGACTACAGTTTAAACAAGTTTACAAAAATTTTCAGTCTATTACATAAGTAACACATCTCCCAATAGGCTACTTTAATCACTCGACAGCATGGTGTTGGTGAGAGCTACCTCACATGCAACACGGTAAACACGTAATCACAATCATTTGTCGGATGCCGAGTTGAACCAGTTGACACACTAATTGCAAACAGCTGTGTGCTCCACAACAAAAAAATATCTGCCTTCACAACAAATTTCATCCGTAAATGGGGCCTGGCTGTAAATGGATGACGCATATTCAGATTCACAGCGCACGCTTAGCAAACAGTTTTACTACCAACATGTCCTCGCCTTTATTCCATCTCAACGGGCCTGGCTGTAAATCTGCCCGGCCACCGTGCTCTGCCCTGACCGGATTCTATTAAAGCCATGCGCTCGGGAGGGCATAGGGACGTTTTTCATTACTGTCCCACAAACTCCTAATGAAAAAATAAGGAAGAAAAGCAGAGAGTGTTGAAATGGAAGTTTCGTGTTACTCTTCCACAGGGTCAGCATCAGAGCAGAGCTGTTATTGTGCGACGCCCCGCTCGGGCCCAAAAGAACATCTGGGTCCAGATCCCACATGGTGCACTCATTAAGCCGCACACAAACCTGAGCGGCCTGACCGTGAAGATCTCAAGATAGGCTCTGTTCAGATAAAAAAATTGCATTACCGATTACACCCACTGGGGTCTCAGAGTCATCCCTCCAAATCACACAGCATCCCACTGTTTTTATCCTTGCAAAAGTTCTCCCGTCTCCTCCCATAAATCTTCTCATGTAAAGCAACAAAACAGAAAGAAAAGGAATCTTTCCAACAACCCAGCCTGTCAACTCAATTGAGGATGAGTCTGAGGGGGGATGTAAAGTGACTCGGACAGGAGATTTGGGTAAAAATCAGTCCATTTACGACAGGATTTAAATCTTTCTCTGCAGCCTTCAGTGATCACATTGCCTGACTGCCTGAATCTCCTCTATCTGACAGGCAGAAGTCCACTTGTCCCTGAGGCTGATTTATAATCCAGTTGGTCTGATAAGGGCGGAATATGTTACCACAAGGTGACATACAGAAAATCACAAGGAGGAAGATTAAACGAAAGCTGAAAAAGCAAATAAGAGGGGAAGAGGTGAAAATTAGACATGAAGAGAAATCGGAGCGGTCTAATTACAGGGCACCGATGACTTTCAAAGCAGACTTTATCTGAATTATGAACCCAAGCCCACCGTGGCAGCATTCAGTATAAACACACGGTCTATCATGATAACCTGTTGCGGAGGCGGAAACAGGCTGAGCTTTGTGGTTGATGACTGAGGAGGGTCCACCTGCAGGTGGGACGGATGAAACAAGGGGTGAGGGGTAAATACGTGTGAAGACGGAGGTGGCAGTGAGATTTAAACAAGATAGCACTCGCTCACAAAGCTCAATGCTGAGGCGAGGTGAGGTGATATGGCCCCAACAGGTTTCAGTTTGTAACTCTAGCTAACCACAGTATTTAACCTAGATTAATATTTGTGCTTGTGTTTTTTTGAAAGCGATGCCTCACCCAGTGATTTCTCCGAACACAGCCCCTTATGGGTAAGCTGCACTGCAGGAATGTTTTGCAGCCTTTACTAAAAGGCTGAGCTTAGCACATAGCTAATAAAAACAAGATATGAATTACTCATGTTGTTTGTACTCCAGGAAACCAGAGCATTGTCTGAATGCAAATGTAGCGCAATCCAAGCAGAGATTTTTCTTCTCAAGGAAGGTGACAACATAAAAAATGTAGACTATGATGTTGTAATTAAAGATTTATTCCAAGAAAAATCCGTGGATCAAAAAAGGACAAGCACCACCCATGGATGAGTCATCTGAATGCCCAACGGTGAAATGGATATCCTTGGAAGATGCCCTGAGAGAATTAGCGTCATTCTTTCTGAAACTCAAAACATATGAACATGCCAATGAGTTACATGTAACTCTGTGGTGTTACACTGTATAAAATTTAATAGAAAAAGAGAAAATGAGTGAACACAAATAGTGGGAGGAGGTAAAACTCTTTTTATGCTGTGTTTAATGTCAGTTATCATTCAGCTTGCAGTGAAAAAAAAAAAAAAAAGCTTTGGCATTTTGCAAAGCTGTCGATGGATTTAGTGTCTCTGTTCTTTCAGGTTCGCCTCACACCTTCTTTTCTGTGCATGAAAGCACATGTCTCTGTCTTTGGCCCCTGTGCCCCACCATAAAAAAGTGCACTGGAGGCATCTGCCAGCTGAAGCTGCTTTATGGGACAGATGGGATCCCAGAGCTGAGAGCTCCTGTGCACAGTGTTCGGTTCTTGAACCTAAGTCGGATCTCCCTCCTGCTGTGATTTTCCACTGCTGGTGCATAAATAATGCAAACAGAAACACTGGCAATATATCCAGATAATATGAAATGTATTATTTCTTGCTTATTTATGGAACAGTTATGTGCATACAACAAACAAGGTTACAAGACATTGCTTTCTGCAAACTCTTGCAGTGCTCTGTAGAGAAGGAAATATTTTTTATCAGGAAGCCTCCAACAGGAAACACAGAAGTGTACAGAAGCAATTCATCCATACAAATGAAAGTGACAACTGGTGGGAGAAGGCCTGAGTATCATTCATCCTTAGCCCAGTTTGTTTTGAAGGGCTGACAGAGAAGACATGTGCTGAGCCGGAGCCAACAGAATGCCAGAGTTCAGAAATTAGACTACTTGGTAATTTAAAATAACTTTGCTGCCTACACACTTTATCATTTTCCTATTTCTTCTACTTGGCTTGAAACCGATTTTCCGAAGAATGCGGGTTTAAGCACTCTAACAACCATAACCCTCGATGTCTTCCCTGCTCATCTTACCATAATGATAAACCTGACGAAGAACAGTGAGCGCTGAGTTGTATCTTTTTTCTCATGTATTTTTTTTTTATTCTTCTGACAACATTTAGAAAATACGACACCAACCAGCCTTCACATTTTCAGTTTCAGTGGGTGAGGAAATAATGACTTTCATCCTCTTCAATGTACACTCCACCTATTCCAAAAGCAACATAAAATCACAGCAAGACTAATGACACTTCAGTGACAGTTCACAAAGACATTACTTCTTTTTTGTCTTTTTGCCTTGAAACACATTCCATCACTCCAAATGCACTCGCTACACCTTCTGCTGTGACTCACATACACTTGCTCCCGTCGACACAATTCTAAACAGAGTTGAACAGGAATGCACCTTGAAAGCATTACAAGTGCTTACAGTGACTCA